AGTTGCATTTATTAGCTTCAACCTCCAGGCAGAAATCTCCCCAGACTGAACCCTAGTTCCCAAGCCAGCCAGCCACAACACCGCGAATTCCTTAGGGAGGTGCCAGCCTCATCTTCTTGAACTTCCCACGCTCCTCTTGGGGGCTAAGAACACACTTATCTCCCTGAGCCTGGCCTTCATAAATCCATTCCATCACAAAATGGCAGAGATTTGGATTTATAACATAAAAACATCTCCACTGATGCTGGACTTAGCATAAGGTACAATTTACCCAGGTGCCAAAGCTGGCATAGCAGTATAGGATTATTCAAGATGCAAGCTTAACTCTGAGGAGAAGTGTCTCCTTAACTCCTCTGTGAAATGGGCATCTGTACTTCTGCTTTGTTTGTGAATCTCTTCCAAACTGCTTGAGGTAATGACAGTTACTATAATCATTGTCAGCTGAAAAGTCTTCACGGCCTGGCTCTTCCCACACTGGGTTCTGTCTTCCTGTTCAAGACAGGATTCAAACCGAGTACCCTTCAGCAATGCAGGCTTTGGTCTTGCCACTTGACTAATCAAGTATTCCAGAATACTTCTTCCATACTCAGTCCTCCAGAACCAAGCAATGTGAATTCATCCACAAACCTAACAGCCTTTGTGATCCATCACACAACATCCAAAGCTTGGTTACTTCATTGCTGTATTGTCTGAGGTTAATAGCCTGACAGCCCTCCCAGGTAAACCAGACAGGAAACATGATCAGATGAGCTAATTCTATTTTATTAAAAGGCTACATTAACAGAATCCTGCATCTCTTGCCCCCCCCCCTTTACAGCCCAAGAAACTAGGGAGGGTCCCTTCTGAGCTGCTTGCCCCACACACATTCCTGCTGCCAGCTAAGTTGCCTTTTATCTAACCATTCCATTGGCTGTGTCTCTTTGCCCTGTTCTCCCAAGGTCATTCCTACATACCATTATATTGTAGCTATATTAATTGCTGTGTGAATACATATTAATTCCTAGGTGAATACAACTCATTGGTAAAGCAAGCATTACAGTACAAAGATGGGCTTAGATTTGCCTATTTATTAGAAATAACATGCATGGGATCAGGATTTTTTTTTTTTATTCATTAATACCGCGCTTCTTCATGATTCCCCTAATCAAATTTACACTACCTATTGTAAATCATTTATTTTATGATCTGAAGTATCTTTATAGAAATCACTTTCTGATTTTTTAATTTAAAAATAAATAATAAGTCTGAAGTAGCCTGTTCTGAGTCAGAGACACCATGAATGAACCTGGGAAAGAGGTGAAAAACAAACAGATGGTACAGCTAGAACAGCCCATTTTGTTTCTGGTTTTTTATAGTAATTTTATTAAAAATTACAATTACAAAGATAGAAACCAATACAAACTAAAAAAATAAAAGAAGAGAAGAAAGTGGAGGAAAGAAAAAAGAAAGAAAAATAGAAAAGAAAGAAAAAATAAGAAA